GACAACCTGGACATCGCCTGCCCGCCCCCGCCCAGAGCCCCAGCTCAGCCAGATCCGTGACACACACACTGTGGTCGCACCCGCAACAAATCCTCCACGCAACCGGATACAAAAGAGAAAGCAAAACACGCACGCACACGCACGGAAGAGCAGCGCCATGACCGTAACCCGCGACAAGGCCCGCCTGGCATCGGGGTCACCCCGTGGCGCATTTTGTTTTAAAATTAAAGCAAGGACTATCCATCACGAGGCTCCACGGGGCCGCATGGTGCCTCTAAAATATTTCACCCAAAGGGCTCTTCCTATCTCTCCAGCTGGTGGAGATTTACATTTCTGATTAAACATCAACTTCAAGAAAGATGTGCCTTGAAGGGGGGCGGGGAGAAACAATTCCCGGTTTTTAAGAGTTTGGAAACGCTTCGCCTCTCTCCTGGTCTGAATGCTTTGGGAAAACACACACACACACACACACACACACACACACAGCAACCCAGTTTGCGCTTCACTGTTACCAATTGTTGAACAGATTGTCCCGGACCTTTCGGTATCAAAAAAATCCCCTTTATTTCATGTCTGTTTCCACCGGTTGCTCAGATTTCTTCTCACTCAGATCCATTTGTAAATTCAACATAAAACTCTCCAAACGGCAGGCTCCTCTCCTATTCACAGGCAGGCCGGCTCCCATTGTTTCCCGTCTCGGGGAACACCAACTTCTGCTGTACAAATGGTGTGTGGCCATCCCCGGGGGCCGGGGGAAAAACTGTTTAATTCAAGGATTACCTCCCTGCATGCTTTTCTGCCGAACGGAGTCAGATAATAGTCAGTTTCCATGACTTCCAAATTGAATCTCCCAGAAAACTTGCAGGGGCCGAGAGAGAGAGAGAGAGAGAGAGAGAGAGAGAGAGAGAGAGGCTAATTGTGAATCTGAATAAATGCAAAATCAAAATGCTGCTTTTTCAGGAAACTTAAGAGTCAACTCCAAAAAGCCAGCCGTTTGCCTTTTTTTGTAGAAGGAAAAAAAAAAAAAAAAAAAAAAAAAAAGGCTCGAGCTGTCGGGCATTCCAGAAAATATAATTAATACCTAAATACTAACTAAACTTCGAAAATGCCTGGAGTCTATTTGCCCTCAGCGCTTCGGAGTTGGCTCAGGGAAAGCCAAATGTGTGCGCACTTTCTTCCCGGCGAGTGTTATTTGAGGAGCTGAGTTACACTTAACACGCTGGCTTTCCTAATTCCCATCTTTTAATCTCCACGAGGGCAGGGTGCAAAACGCATTCACAATACCCAGCAAATCTCAGTGGTGCAGGGAGCACCAACAACGACTCTGTTTTAATTTAATGTCTAATCATCCTAATTGGCCCCCGGATTCCTGTGCACATTCGAGGTGCCGTTTTAAGCAGTTTCTGTCTGTCTGTCTCTCTCTCTCTCTTCCCCTCCCTGCCTTAAAATAATGTAAACAAGATATTACACGAATTTTTGCTCAAGTTATGTGGCTTAACTTGGGACAAAAATAATGTGACAAAAAGATTCTTAGTATTTTGACAACCAGTTTTAAAGGATGCATCCATTTCGGATGCTTATTTTAAACGAGGAAATGCAGCTCCTAATATATTCAACAGAAATGTTATTTCCTCCTCTTTGCACATTTCCATATGTAATGGTTATGTTTCCATCTACTTTTACTGCCAATTATGAAGGAACAAAAGCTATTCTGTTTGTTCACACATTTTCAACAAAATGCATTAAAACTATTATGTCAGCATGTTCTATTAAGCTCTGCATTCAGTGGAAAATACTTTTCAACCAGCTCACATTTATCAAAACATAAAGCCACTTTAAAACACAGTTTTGCTTGGTCAGCTGGGCTTAGACAAATAATGACAGATTCAGAACTAAATAACTAGCCAGGGAAATCAGAAAACTGACTTCACCAATTGTACACATTACAATGTCCTTGCTTCAAATATTTAGCACATCTGTGCTCACGACGAAAGGGCATTTTAATTCTCGGTAACTTGCAAACATCTGATATTCTCATGCTATCGGAGAGAAAATAAAAAGAAGGTTACTTTACAGGACTTAGCCGGTGATTACTTGCTTTCCTGGGCTCAAGTTCTACACTGGCGCTGCCGTGAGATTCACTTGAGGATTTTCAAGTTTCTCAACCTGCACAGTTTTGTATTTAAGATGGTGCTAAACTGCACGGAAAATAGAGCTGCTTAAAATAAAAGCCTGCTGGCTGGTAAGAAAGGGGCCGTGTTAAAGAGCTGCTCAGACTTTAGCTTCGATTTTCGCAACATTTTAATAAGCTGACATTTGATCTCACTTGGAGAGGCAACTAATTTAATTTCCTGATGTTTATGAACACCAAAAAAAAAAAAAAAAAAAAAAAAACCACCCAAAAAACAATTTCTGGTATCTATTTTGATTTACTTCAAAAGCAGGTGTCGCTACACTGTAATAGTTCTTAACTTTAAATCTATCCGAATTCTGAACACAGTTCCAATGAAACAGCTTTAAAAAAAAAAAAGATAAAACACCAGGACTAGCTTGAATCTTGAACTACTAAAGGGAATAGTTTAAGTCGAAATAAGATACGCGCGTGCACACACGAGCACACACGGGCACACACACACACGCAAACTAACACGTTCTAATTCATTTTTCCAACTGTCTACTACCTTGTATCTCTGAATAATCTGTGACAGGATTCCAACTGGTGACCCCATTAGAGTAAATACAGTTGCCTTGTTCCCTGTGCTGTGGTGAAAATGACATGCGGGCCCCTTTGCTATGGATTTTGCATGCAAATTAATCTAATTTTGTAATCCTGGTCAGACAGGAAGATTTAAGGAGGAGTGTTTTTTTAAGTATTGACACACAAAAAGATATTTGGAATTTCTGGGGTTTTTTTGGGGGGGGGGGGCGGGGTGAGGAGGAAGGGTGAACTTACAGCTCCATCCAATTTCTACTAAAATCCCAAATGTTTTTTCTTGTTACACTACTTAGGGACTTGGTGCCCAATTCAAATTTGTCCGTTTTCCCTCATCTGAACCAAACACGGCAGAACAGCAGGCAGAAAATCGAGGTGTCCCAGGATCTCTGTCTACCGAGAAAACAAAAATAAAACTATGCCCCACACAGAAAGGGCTAGCCAACCAGGGGAAAACAAAACAAAACAAAACAAAAAAACAAAACCCAAACCAAAACAACACAGCATTCGGCCAGGCTTGGTCTTCTTCTGGGAGCCCCTCAGAAAGCTCGTCCCCTGCCTTCCCCTGACCTTCAGATCACATTCCCATTTTTAACAGACCCTCTCGTGACCATGATTGGGGAGCCTAGAATCCTAACAGGCTCTTCCTATTTCCTGGGCCAATCGCAGACATTTTTGATTGATTGGTCTTTTTTCTTTTTTAATTGTTGGCACAGACCTGGGAAAAGCCTGAATGTCCAGCTGAAAATTCCCAAGAAACCGTAAACACCAGCACATATAGGCTGTGTGTATTTTCGGTCGCGTCTTAAGTTTCCTCTCTGTGACGGGAGACCAGAGACACACATTTCCTGGCACCTTCCAAGTTTCCTGGGTGTTCTGCCCCGGACCAGTGTCGTCTTGCGTGGAAGAATACAAGTGAAATCTTTGGGGAGGAGGGGGTGGGGGGGGAAGCAACAAGACGCTCCTTTTAAAAATCGGGATCCGAGCCCACGAAAGGCACCGGGGAGTGGCAAGGGGGGAAATGCCGTCCCCGTGGCTGAATCAAACTGAACACTAGATGGGGTTCCAGTTGCGAGGGTTTGTTCTGCAACTTCTTTGTGGCTTAGCTCTTCCAGTGACGCGGAAAAGAGAGACTCCTTAAGGCGAGATCTAAACTTTGGCTACGTAAACATTGGCAGAGGCACCAGAAACTGAATCCCTGTTGTGTGAGGGCAAAAAAACGGAGCGATGGGGACTGCCTGTCAATCTTCCCCTTTGGGGGTCTGGCATCCCAGGGCGGCCCGGGGGGAATGAGGTTAGGAAAAGAAGCCAAGCTGATAAGGTGAAACTAAAATAAACGACCCACTTCCTGCTAAGTGACCAGCAAGGCTCAATTTGGGGGTCACGGGGAAGATCCTGAAGGACATATTATGGTCTGGACCTCGTCACCTCTGCCTGGGAGGGGGCCGGCAGAGGTTAAAACAGCCCGGACACGGCTAGGTTTTCTCAAGCCTGGCCTGCAAAGGCGGTCCTGCTGTGGGGGAGGAGGGGTGGTGGTGTGGTAGGAGCATGGACCACCTCCTTGCTAGCTAACCTGCTCAATTGCTTCAGCGTGGGCGCTCTAAGAAGACGCCGGGAGGAGCGGGCCAGCTAGCTGCTCCAGGGGATGTCTTAGAAAAACCAAGTGAGGAATTGCAGGAGGAGTTTGGTTCTGGCTACTACATAGAGCTTGGCTTCTAATAATTCCAAAAAAACGGAGGGGATGACTCATCTAACAATTTCTTCCCCAGGTTCCCAGGAAGGTTTCCACATTAAAAAAAAACCCCACACAAAACAAAAACAACAACAAAAAAACCCACAGGTAGGTGTCTGCCTTCGAAAGGACTGTTGGTGCAGACATGGAAAGAAATGGAATGAAGTCCCCCAAGCAGGACCCATCAATTGGCCTATAGACTATAGGAGGAACTGGATATAAAATAAACCCCCAAAACATTCAGCATCACAAAACTCACTGTCACACACACCGGCTCTCAGGCCTTTGCCGGTGTGTTTGTCTTTAACATTTTAGGGAGTCTGTGCCGCCCCCCCGAGACGCCAATCCCCCCCCAAACAGCTTGCATTGCCTCACCCAGCATCTCCCATTATGCGACCAACTTAAAAACAGGCCTGATGAGACATAAATTCTTTGGCAACTGCCTTATCTTGCAGGTGTTGGTTTGTTTTTTGGTTGTTTTTTTTTTTTTTTTAAAACCACACCAATTCATTACGGCTCTCTCTAACCTTCTGGGCCCAGAAATCAATGAGCAGCCATTAAGCTGCTCAGGATGAGGAAATTACTTTGGTAAATAATAGAATTTCATTATTAATACAAATAGGAGGATTTTTATGCGACTTTACATGACAGTCAATGTTTTATCTGCGGTTCATGATGCTTTTTATCTTTCTTCCAATGTTATCTCTTCCTTGGGGGGAAAAAACAACAAACAAAAAAAAACCCTCTGAGCACCAAAATTCTTTCTTACTAAATGAATGGGGTAGGAATGGGCCCTCCATGTACTTACAGGAATCTTAAAAAACACCACCCACGGAAGAAAAACCCACCACACACACACACACACACACACACACACACACACACGTGGAATCCACATTTCTAGTAAAAAACCCACATAGAAGAAAATTAGATTCCAATACTCCCTTTTCCTCAGAATAACTTATCTCGGTAAATACTTTCCCCAATGCAGTCCTCTTCCTACATGCAACTCAAGACTTGTTGAATATCACCTCCGACACAAATCATATTCGCCATCATCTTGGTTTCAGAAGAGACAGAAAAACGCCCAGGTTTCTCTGAGGGTGCTCCTGGTCCCTCCGCCTCTCGGAAGTAGAATTAAAATGTGAACACTGTAAGATTGACCAAAATAATCTTGTTTTCCTGAACTTGTTCCAATGAAGTTATCCGTGTGGCTGTCCAGCATAGCTCGGGGTTTCTTTGTATGCGCGCGCGCACACACACACACACAGACACGCAAACACACACACACAGACACGCAAACACATACATGCATGGCACACAGCACCG